CGACCCACACCAGTCGACTAACACCCAGGTACCTACTTACTGCAAGGTAAACAGGGACAACAGGGGTAAGGGAAAATGCCCAATGTTTCCACCCGGCCGGGGATTGAACCACACACTCAGTGTGTGAAGCAAGAACTTTGCCTAGCGAGTTTGAAGCCATTCAAAAAAGGCATTCCCAAGGCATCGCACAGTGTGTAATACCATTCATATTTTTAAATAAAATGAGCAAATTGGCGCCTACATAGTCCAATAACAATCAGTAAATAACAGTAAGTAAGCTACAAGAAGCAAACTGGAGAAAAACTCTCTACAGGAGAAGGCGAAGAAACACTGGGCTCCTCAAGAAAGCTAGATTATCTGATACACGGAAGGAAGCGCTATCCAGGGAAGTGGAAAATATCGAGCTTAATTTAAATAACTCATACAGGATTCAGGAGAGACAGGAGGAGCTAAAAGCGATTAGTGAAATTGAAAGAAATTCGAAATATTTCTTTTCATATGCCAAAAACTAGGCAAAAATCACATCTAGTATAGGGCCCCTGATCAGACAAGATGGATCCTACACAGATGACAACAAAGAAATGAGTGAGATAATGAAATCTCAGTATGACTCTGTGTTTAACGAGCCACTAATCAGTCTAGAGATAGACAATCCAAATAATTTTTCATGAATAAGCCTCAAAACCCAGTAAATGTATGCCAAATTTCTGACATAACCCTAACTACACAAGACTTTCAGAAAGCCATTCACGACATGCCTATACACTCAACCCCAGGTCCAGACTCGTGGAACTCTGTGTTTATTAAGAACTGCAAGAAACCCCTTTTGCGGGCTCTAAGTGTGCTATGGAGAAGGAGCATAGACACAGGTGAAATTCCACAGTCACTAAAAACAATAGACATAGCCCCACTTCATAAAGGTGGCAGCAAAGCAATAGCTAAGAACTATAGACCAATAGATCTAACATCCCACATCATAAAAATCTTTGAAACAGTTCTAAGAAGCAGGATTGCCAACCACTTGGATTCCCAATGACTGTACAATCCAGGGCAACATGGGTTCAGAGCAGGTCGCTCCTGCCTCTCTCAACTACTGGATTACTATGATATGGTCTTGGATGCATCGGAAAACAAACAGTATTCAGAGATATACACACTCACGAAATCGTAATGACACGATTGCAAACAAACTAGTTTGGAGTTTTGAGACTCTCTGACCGCGGGTTCAATCCCGGCTGGGGTATGGTTTGTTTGCAATCGTGTCATTACGATTTCGTGAGTCATGTTGACGGCAGTGAGGGGACTTGAGCTAGAGTTCGTCACGGCCACGCTAGCTGGAGATTCGTCTGTAAAAACTTGCATTTGTGGTCACAGTGGTGCCTGTGCTAACCTTCCTATGGTGTAGAAATATACCTAGTTGGACGAATCTTATTGTGGCTAGCTGGTCTAGTGGCTAACGCGACGGTCTGGAGTTTTGAGACTCTCTGACCGCGGGTTCAATCCCGGCCGGGGTATGGTTTATATACACAGATTTTACAAGAGCCTTTGACAAGTGCGATCATGGTGTAATAGCACACAAAATGCGTACTACAGGGATAACTGGCAAAGTAGGCAGATGGATCTTCAACTTTCTAACCAATCGAACACAAAGAGTAGTGGTTAACAGAATTAAATCGGAGGCTGCCGTAGTGAAGAGCTCTGTTCCACAAGGTACAGTACTCGCCTCTATCCTGTTCCTTATCCTCATATCAAACATAGACAGAGATGTAAACCATAGCACCGTATCATCCTTTGCAGACGATACTAGGATCTGCATGAGACTGTCATCCATTAAGGACACGGCAGATCTCCAAGCAGATATAAACCAAGTTTTCTAATGGGCAACAGAGAACAATATGATGTTCAACGAAGAAAAATTTCAACTACTCAGTTATGGAAAACTGGAGGAAATTATAGCTAGAACTGAGTATACTACAAACTCTAATCACACAATATACTGGAAAAGTAATGTGAAGGACCTGGGAGTGGTAATGTCTGAGGGTCTTACCTTGAAGGATCATAACAGTGCCACTATCAAATCTGCGAGGAAAATGATAGGATGCATGATGAGAACATTCAAGACAAGCGATGCCAAGCCAACGATGATCCTTTTTAAATCACTTGTTCTCTCTAGGTTGGAATACTGCTGTACAGTAACAGCTCCATTCAAGGCAGGTGAAATCGCAGATGTGGAGAATGCTCAGAGAACCTTTACTGCACGTATAAGTTCCATGAAACACCTTAACTACTGGGAACGCTTGTAAGCACTTGACTTGTACTCACTGGAGCGCAGGCGAGAAAGATACATCATAATCTATGCCTGGAAAATCCTAGAGGGACTTGCCCCTAATCTACACACAGATATCACTCCCTACGAAAGCAAAAGTCTTGGCAGGTGATGCAACATACCCCCATTAGTACACTAAGAGAAATCACCGTAAGTGTCCAGGGCCCAAGACTGTTCAACAGCCTCCCACCAGCCATAAAGGGAATTACCAATAGACCCCTGGTTGTTTTCAAGAGGGAGCTGGACAGATGCCTAAAGTCAGTATCGGATCAGCCGGGCTGTGGTTCGTACGTTGGACTACGTGCGACCAATAGTAACAGCCTAGTTGATCAGGCTCTGATCCACCGGGAGGCCTGGTCGTGGACCGGGCCGCGGGGGCGTTGATCCCCAGAATACCCTCCAGGTAGGTAGACAACAGTATTGAAAGTTGGAACAATAAAAAGATGTAGGGGGTCAATGCTCCCGCGTCCCGGTCTAAAACTAGGCCTCGTGATGGGTCAGGATCTGATCAACCAGGCTGTTACTACTGGCCGCACGTAAACCGACGCACGAACCACAGCCTGGCTAATCCTATATGCGGGTTATTTGTGTCTTAAAAGTTTGAAGCTGATCAGAAGCGACATTCTCCAGTTTTTGAACGGAACCTCCATACCATTTTCATTTATAATGTCGTGGGGGTAAGTCAGGGAATATTGGAGTAAGAAATACACACGTTGGATATCTTGTAGGCGTATAGAACCCGCGGGACAGAACCCGCGGGATAGAACCCGCGAGATAGAACCCGCGATCACAGTCATAAAACTGCAGACCGACACGGTTGGTTTGGAATCGTGTCATTACGGTTGTAGGCGTATAAGGGAGTAGCCTAGGCCTGCTTGTCGAGTCTAAGCCTAGCGTTGAACTGAGAGAGAACGCTACAGCCTACGGCTCACATGTGAGACTCGTGACGTCACAGCAAATAACTGGGATATCTAAGTGTACTACAGAAGTACACAGTAACACTACTGACAATAAGAGGGGTAAACTGGCAGTTTTAGAGTAGTTATTTGCATGAAGCTGACTAGTGGATTGAATTTCAAACGATTGAACATTGACTCTTCTCTCAAAAAATCAAGGAACGAGTGAGGTTTGAACCCATAGCGAGAGAGTCCTAAAAACTCACTGGCTTTTGAGTTTTACCACTCACTCGCCATGGGTTCCAACCCCACCCGTTCCGTGATTTGTTTCCAGTCGTGTTATTACGATTTCGTGAAGCCTAACTCTTGCATGAAGCTATCTACTGGGAGAGTGAAGGTCTTGTGATGCAAAACTGATTCATTAATTGCATGATCCAGTCCACTGGTGATGGATTGCTAACATTGGTTTGGTACAGTTAATAATGTATGCATGGCAGCCATTACTCTAGTGCTCAGGTCTACTAGAGATCGTATCCACTTGTAAATTTTAATATCAGAGGAATTATACATCTGTCGTAGGTCATTCGCTGGAAAGTCTTATATATATATTAAAGAATGAAGGTTGGCAGATGACAGTGATAAAATTAAAAATGTTTTTTTTATTATTTGTTCTAATAATATTACTAAACTACCTTTAACTCGGCAAGAAATCCGTAGGAAGGAGTTACTAGTTTATTAACCCTCTTTCGTTTAGTGGGTTCCCAGTAGACTGCTCACCTGTATCCCCTCCCCATACTTCCTTGCAGCTCCACAAATGAGGACGAGATGTGTAACTTCTATATGATGTACTGGACGAATGGAAAGATCCTGAAGAAAAAGAACTGTTTCTCCCTTGGGCCCCCCTTCTATTACTGGACCCGAGGGGGCCTCAACAGCATCCCTGATAGGGACGCCTCCTCTTTGTCTGTTGGCACCTCTGCTAAAGAACAGGGCATCGACCCTCACCAGACATAACCTGTGATTTGTCTTGAGGAACCCTTACACATGCTCGGTAATGACACTTCGACTCCCAGGCTGGTATAACACGCCTCCTCTATAACAGAATATCATAGTTAATGCCTGTCGTAGGTATGTCAGTTAGGCATTTTTAATTAAGCTGCATATCATATGCATTGCAAGTATGCAGTTGCTCATGCTATTTAAAATTAATGTAGGTAACTGGCTGATCTCAGTTGATTTTGTATTCCCTTCTAAGATATCTCCTGTAGAAGCAATAGCTAGCGCAGCAATAGTGGCTTATGAAACAATGATTCATAGGCATAAGTGGCACTATTACCAATTGTTAATTTAAACATGAACGTTTTTCACGGCATTATATTTCGAAAAGACGATATATTTTTTTAGTAAGCTTGTTTTAAATTACTTCATAACTATATTGGCTTTGAAAAAGTGTTTCATGTTTAATTATCCCTTGAAAAATATTTTATAAGTGTTATTTATTACATTGTTTTGTTGAGAGTGTTTCTTTTCTTTTTACACCTGAGTTGTGTGGAAGCGTTCGGCACCTTACACAGAGTTACGGCTCTGCTTACACCCGCAGAGTTACTGCTCTACTTACACCCGCAGAGTTACTGCTCTGCTTACACCCGCAGAGTTACTGCTCTGCTTACACCCGCAGAGTTACTGCTCTGTTTACACCCGCAGAGTTACTGCTCTGCTTACACTGCTGCTGGTGAAACAGTTTGTAATCAAATACTTTTGGTTTTTCCCATCTCAAGGAGCACGGGTGTGGATGAAATGTGCAATTTCTATATGATGTACTTTGTGGAGGGTGGAACTGATAAACTGCTACAGAGAAGGTTTTGCTTCACCTCTGGTCCACCGGGTTACTACTGGAAAAATGACACAAGATTCAGGAACCTGCCTGTGGAGTAAATAATCATTATTCCCCTCGCCCCTTCAACGAAAGAACTACAAATATTTATTATGTCTAACCCAGTGACTCTATTGGATAATAAATTCTTCTTGAAGGAATAAGTACAGTAAAGTATTTACAAATATAAATGGGTGTTGTGGAAATAGGCTGAGAAAGATAGAACTATCAGAGTAACGATGTTTTTAAGGTGCATCAGTTAGAATGTAAAAACTAGGAATGCGGGAACTATAATGTATCTTGCATATATCAGAGCATATTTGGTACTGTGATGGAAACAGGTAATGAAAGGCGAGGAGGATTGTCAAGAAAATTTCATCAAGCCAACAATGTTATGTCACAGTATCATATGATTTGTCCAAAACATCTGATGTTCTGGAGATTTAAAAAGAATTCTTAGAAATTAGAACAGGATTTTCAGATATATCATATATACACACAGATAGGCTATCAAATGTAAGTACAATAACGTGATAGTGAAAAGCGTAAGGACAAAACGCACTTGTAATCTTGGCAGTGTTTTACACAGTTTAATAGAACAGTTTTAACAATTACAATTAAAAACAAAAATACTAATGAGAACATCTTTGAGGTAAATCATGAGCAACTTAATAACTAGCGAGAGAAACCTGAGTAGACAAACTGAACAAAGAGGAACTAATCTGCGAACAAATTTAAATATTAAATATATTAAAAATACTACTAACAATGGCAAAGAATCATTACTACGCTACGTCACATGACGTCTTCAGTCACAGTGAGGAAAGTCTGAGTCTACCATCACTACTCCAGACAAGTGATGATAATAAAGGTAATAAGATGATAATGGTAATAAGAGTGATTAATGGTCAGGTTAAAAAAATAGCAGTTAACGCTAATAAGATATCAAAAAGACAGCTATTTTAATGACACTAGTACCGTCATGTAGAGGGAATTATTGGAAGATATACAACATCTGCGTCTAACATTAACACTGATTTACCAACTATTCCTCATTATTGTGCAGTATTATCAGTGTTATTTCTATAACTTTAACACTTGTTTTGTTTATTTTAGCACGGGAGCATTACTCTCTTATATTATCTATTATATTCTCTGATATAGCTGATCGTGTGTATTAGTTGTAAGATGGGTTATTTAACTGTTTGGAATATTTATCAGGTCATTCTAACATTGGGAAATTTTATGTTCAGGAAGTTAAAAAAGTGAGAAGAAAACCGAAGCACCGTTATTATGATGACTTCAGTGTGTGGTAAATAGCTGGCGTTGTCGGCCTCATTGAGTGATGTCAAAGTCGTTTTCTTCCCTGTATATATTCTATAGATATTTTTATTACATGCGTAAAATGTTAGTCAGTCTACTCTCTAGTTACCCAGTACAGCTTGTACAGGCTCGCTTGAATCCGACCCTACAGCCCTACATTGTACAGTTCCTGCCACCTAGACGGGTCGTTCTGCGCCACGCTACTTCTCTGCCACCCATCACCTCGCATATCAATCGCCCACAGCTCATGTTCTTTTCCCATCCCACGCATTCTACATCTCAGCCGCCTACATTTCACCTCATCTTTACTTGCCACCCATCATCTTCAATATCTCAACCTGCTCATAACTATTCCAAAATATTTTAAAAATGCGGCCGACCAGCATAACTAGCCCTGGGGGTTTGATTAGACCCTCGATGCCTCAGCCCCCCGCCCCCGGCCTGTCTCCACCTGGGAGCGGCAGCGCCCGGTTGTTAGTTGACCCCCAAAAACCCTCTCCAGGTATACTCCAAGTATTGAATAGTTAATATGGTTTAAATATCGAGAAAACACATCATATGCTCTCTTAATTTTTAATGGATTGATGTCCTGTGTAGTTACACTCAGATTCTGATAATACGACTAATACCCGCGTTAAGAAACATTTTCCCTAACCGAAGTAAACATTACCACCATCTGTAACGCGTTACCCGTGACAAGTCTTATCGTCTTACACCCATCACAAGTTTAATACACCGAGGTGTGTATTTCTCAGTGTGTATATACACTTAAAGTTTGCTTTAATCCTTATATTCTGGGGGAATGAGGTATTCGTGACTGATGGTGTACATAGAGGTGACATGCAGTTTAACATGACTCGTGTAGCCGAGAGCCGAAAGTAAACAAATCATCGAATCGAATCCTTTTGGATGTTAAATGTTTACAGCCGCCACTTGCCTCCTGTTTATCTTAATCTGTTTCTTATATTCTTCTTTTGTTCTCGTTTACTTCTTCAGCTGATCTTTCCGCTGTCTTCTATTAATACTGAATTGACAAAAATATAACCAGGAAGAGTAAAAAAAATCGATGCTTTTTCTACATAAGGAGCAGAATCTTCGCTGTATACATGTGTATGTGTGTGTGTGTGTGTGTGTGTGTGTGTGTGGTGTGTGTGTGTGTGTGTGTGTGTGTGTGTTTTGGGGTGTGTGTGTGTGTGTGTATGTGTGTGTGTGTGCGTGTGTGTGTGTGTGTGTGTGTGTGTGTATGTGTGTGTGTGTGGTGTGTGGTGTGTGTGTGTGTGTGTGTGTGTGTGTGTGTGTGTGTGTGTATCTGTGTGTGCGTCTTTATGTTTATTTGTGTATATGTGTGTACTTACCAGTTTGTGATTGTAGAGGTTGAGTCTCGGCTCCTGGCCCTGTCTCTTGCAGCATCCAGGTATTACTCCTGGCCTCGTGGGTCCTGTCATACCTTTTCTTTAAACTGTGTATGGAGCATTCTTTCGCTACTTCGTCTAAATCAATTAAGGCTTAAGATATATTTTCCTGACATCTCTCTGACTCATCTTTGTTCTTAACTTTCAAGTAAGCCCTCGTGTACAGTACTTGTTTCACACCTGTATGGCTGTCCCCTCTATTATTTCCTCTTAGTATTTTGTATGTCATTATCATGTCTCCCTTAGTTGTTCTGTCCTCTAATATCGTAAAGTTCAGTTAGTTACCTTTAGTTAACTCCTCTGAGACTAACATGTGGTGAATATAGCACTATGAATGTCTTTGTTGACACTCCTGCAACTTACTCTTATGTCTGCTAAACCAGCATTCACTGCAGAGTTTATTCAGTTGATGTGTGATTCTTGCAATATACTCGGCACTGTGCTCACCCCCTGGTCTCTTGCTATCTTTAGTGAGGTTTGTAGCCTCTCCGGAATCTGTACTCTGTTTCCAGTCTTCTTACCCTTTTCTTATTTTTTATAACCATGCACTTGCTGGGGTTGAATTCAAGTGGCCACTTGTTTGATCAATCTTTCACTTGGAATAAAACCATTTGTAATCTTTTTAACCACATCGATTTTTATTTTCCTCAGTTTTACGTAGTCTTCAAACTGGGCTACATCAGACTCCATCTCTTCCGGTATGTCTTTCGCACATTCCAGAAACAATTTGGATTCTAATACTGATCCTTGAGGAACCCCGCTTGTTACACTTTCCCACTATGACAACTCTTCGGATTCACTCACTTTGTTTCTTTCCCATACAACGCTTTTTTTTTTCATCCACCGTAGCGCATTTCCTGTTATGTCTTCCTTCTCAAGTCTTACTCCTAGTCTCTCTGACGAAGCAATTTCCTTCCATAGTGAAAAAACGTATATCAAAACAGGGCCACACATACGGCACCCATACTGCTCCTTGAGTCTATCATTCACTCTCCAGAATTCAATCTCTCGTCAGTTCCAGCACTTCCAGGAATTTTTGCCTCGCTTCCTCTTTCTCTTAACAGCTGGAACTTAAAATAAAGAAGCAACTTCACTGGAGCTCCCTGGAATCACCTTGATGCTGCAAAATAAGGTACCAGGCTACACCTTGATGCTACAAAACAAGGCACCAGGCTACACCTTGATGCTACAAAACAAGGCACCAGGCTACACCTTGATGCTACAAAACAAGGCACCAGGCTACACCTTGATGCTACAAAACAAGGCACCAGGCTACACCTTGATGCTACAAAACAAGGTACCAGGCTACACCTTGATGCTACAAAACAAGGCACCAAGCTGCACCTTGATGCCACAAAACAAGGTACCAGGCTACACCTTGATGCCACAAAACAAGGCACCAGGCTACACGTTGATGCTACAAAACAAGGTACCAGGCTACACCTTGATGCTACAAAACAAGGTACCAGGCTACACCTTGATGCTACAAAAGGTACCAGGCTACACCTTGATGCTACAAAACAAGGTACCAGGCTACACCTTGATGCCATAAAACAAGGTACCAGGCTACACCTTGATGCTACAAAACAAGGTACCAGGCTACACCTTGATGCTGCAAAACAAGGCACCAAGCTACACCTTGATGCCACAAAACAAGGCACCAGGCTACACCTTGATGCTACAAAACAAGGTACCAGGCTACACCTTGATACTACAAAACAAGGCACCAGGCTACACCTTGATGCTACAAAAGGTACCAGGCTACACCTTGATGCTACAAAACAAGGTACCAGGCTACACCTTGATGCCATAAAACAAGGTACCAGGCTACACCTTGATGCTACAAAACAAGGTACCAGGCTACACCTTGATGCTACAAAACAAGGTACCAGGCTACACCTTGATACTACAAAACAAGGCACCAGGCTACACCTTGATGCCACAAAACAATGCACCAGGCTACACCTTGATGCCACAAAACAAGGCACCAGGCTACACCTTGATGCCACAAAACAATGCACCAGGCTACACCTTGATGCCACAAAACAATGCACCAGGCTACACCTTGATGCCACAAAACAATGCACCAGGCTACACCTTGATGCCACAAAACAATGCACCAGGCTACACCTTGATGCCACAAAACAAGGCACCAGGCTACACCTTGATGCCACAAAACAAGGCACCAGGCTACACCTTGATGCCACAAAACAATGCACCAGGCTACACCTTGATGCCACAAAACAAGGCAACAGGCTACACCTAATGCCTGATCATTCTTATTTTGAGAATAACTACGGTGGTAACAATACATTTCTAGGTACGACGCTTTTACAGGCTCACCATTATACCAATCTTTCATTAATAATTTTATACACAGCCTCATAAAATAATTAGCAATAACAATAAAAAATAATAAGAGAACTGAGTGAACATCTTCAGTAATTCCCTTAAATAAATAAAGGAGTAGAAATAAGCTATTATTACTATCACAGACTATGAGACTGGTTAATTACCTTTCAATCCAAAACTAGACGGAAGCAACTAAACTTATTTTTCTAGTTTTATCTCCCTCCTCATTTACAAAATATAGATAATTAAATATAAAGATAATAGAACTTAATTATTAAGAAAAAATTAATTTATTTACGTACGTATTTCAGACTCCTTTCCCTTCCCATGATCACCTTAAGCTTACTCTTATTAAGTATTATCTACGAAATAACAAGCTTCTCATCTCTTTGAACAAACCATAAAGCAGAAAACACGAGACAGTAACTGTAGTCTTTTTTACAGGGCATCAATCGTTATTATATTCATCCATGTAAAGTTCTATAATATATTTCACAATGTAAGAAAAAAACAATGGAACATTGGTCTCATGTTATTGCTTATTAGAGCTGAAACATGAGAATTAACTCAGCATTATTAGTTTACTTTTAAAAATAATATTTTTACCTTCTGAATACTCAGAGAAATGAAAAGTAACAGTAAACTAAACACACTAAACACAGTCATTTTC